GTCATGATCTAGTCGAAGGTTTCACCGCATAGGAAGATACTATCTAGGTTTGAGTAGATGCAACATATTGTAACACACAGGAGGTATAACTTGGTGCGTAGTTCAGCTCACGGTCTTGGTATTCGCCGTCTTTGAAAAATAAGGCCCGACGGCAAGGGTGAAAGGTTAAGTGGGGATTCCGATGCCTTTCCGCCAGTTGGATGTTGTCACGGCTGTGTGCCAACTTTTTTATCTTGAGGGGGAGATCTTAACTCTAATAATTTTAAACAATTAGCCGGGGTACCCCAGGCCCCGTTCATTGAAGGGATAGCGCAAAATATGTACCGCTAAGGCTGCGCCACTCTGAGAAGGTCCTCTACATATGGTCCTCGGCGTGGAGTGAATGTCGATCCTTGTCGATTATTCCTGATGCCTTGGATACACCTACTTTCCGCCCTTGCTGCAACAATAGTCCGTCCGTAAAGGTAACACTCGCCAAGGAATTGTGTCAGTTGATTAATGATTCCCAAAGTACGTTGTCGGAGGAATCATCGGGGAAATGCTTGCATTACATACAATTCTTTCTCGTGTTGGCCCTGCGCAGTGTCTAGACCTAGGCTTTGGGTATCGCTGCATAAATAAATTGTTGAACAAAAGAGAGGCTGTTTTGTATGGTACGAGCAGTAGGATACTGGACCAAAGGGTAAAATGAGTGGGTTCTCCTCCGAGATCTATCTTGGTGTGTGTTTATATAATCGCGATAAGTGGCTGCTGACTACTAATATACTACCAGATGTAAGGAACGTACGGAAGTGCGTCATTTCTGGTCGACATAAATTACGGGCTGAGGCTTGACCAAAATGACATGAGCCTGAAGATGAGTGAAAAGTAGTCTATTAGTGGGAGTTCATTGATAATTCGGCAAACATCACGGAAAGAAACCATACCTGGCAATTCCGTTTCTTTAATGTTGATGCCGGGGTGACGGAGTTGATATAACTTAAGCATCCTGCTCTTGAAATTCTTCCATCGCCGACCCAAGCTGGTTAGTAACCGCATACGGGGAAGGTTCTATATCCTCTCAGTGGTTGGCGGTGGGGTTCGGAGGCTCGGCTTGCAAACCATATCTTGGTTTCCAGACAGAAAGAGAAGTCTCTAGTGATTTCTCCGCTGGATGAATGAAGCCCAATCCGTTTATGCTTGCACATCTCAAATGTTCTAACAACAGCATCAGAGTTAAAAATGGCGGGATGGACTAAGGTAAACAATTTCTATACCAACAGTAGGTATCCAACGTGGCTTAAAAGAAACGATATCAGGGCGTATTTTGTTTCATCCATCCGGAGCAACGCTTGGCCCGTTGCCTAGTCAACTGAGGTCAAACATTCCGCGGATATGTTGGTCCAAACTCCACGCTAGAACAATCATAGTGGCCGATAAATGACCGTAAGTTAGTGACTGCTAGGGCTATCGATGTGGTTATTCGTGAGAAACCCGTCCTACGACTGCTAATCAGCGACCTTAAGGGCGACATATCCCCCAATATGCCCTAATCGAGAGTCCCCGTAGTCCCCTCCGAGGAGCTCTAGTATCTTTGCTACCATAGTAATACCCATATAAACCGAGGGTCCCTGGAAGAAATTCAACGTAGACACTGACTTTGGATATTTGCCCAACTACTAAAGGTAACTATTAACGAAAACAACCACACTCATATTCAAAAGCACCGTTGAACTCTAAGATTCACTTGACGTATTTCTGTCGGCCTGATGCGGTTTTATGTGTATTCGGTTTCGTTGTGGTAATGAGATTGTCGTGAGCCACGTAAAAAACGCGAGTTCTTGATGGAAGAATGAAAGAAGAGGAAATACGGAGTGAGGTGTAACGAGTGCAAATTTGATATGATTTCTCCTGAAGGAGTTATGGAATATGAGATGGGCCTGTGTGTGGTTGCTCTCATATAATGCGACCATGGAAACTGCCATTAGAAATCGAGGAGGGTTGAATGCGATTAAACATCTGAAAGGCTGTCAGCAGACTATTGTGGGACTATTTAGCAGTAGAACCCAACGGCTGGAATAGAAGAGGACAGAAAGAGATATTGACCACATATCTAAGGTTATACATACCTAGGAAAGGTTTTCACAAATTAAGCCCTTTCCCGTCCCGTGTACCGAGAAGATTAGTATATTTTAAGAAGACTACCAAAATGACATGACGAGGCCATTCTTGTAATTCTCTAACTTGGAAACAGCGAGTCTAAGTGGCCAAAAGAGATCTATCCATACTAATAAAAAGCAAGAAACAGGGATCATATGCCATTGAGAATCAATAGATGAGAGCTCGGCCTCAACATGGCTTCGATGAGGCGTGATTTCATGCTCCAAGTTACCATGACAGGAAAGAAAGAATAGTCAATTAATTCAGTTTGTTAATGCAACCTTCTTATCTGTATCCCAAGATGAAAAATAAGTTGAATATCCACAATAACCACTCTGCCAATATAAAAACTCCCCACCTCCCCACAACATCTACCCCCACGCCCCTATACAATCAGGAATGTAACGCTGACACAATCCCTTGCTTTGCATAAAAGGGCTCACATCGTAACCAATATCACGATGTCCAGACATGAAGTGGATTGTCCTCTCACTTGCCGCAGTCGCGTCTGCGCTGCAGATCCTACCCCCGGTGCACTTTGATAACACTGGCTCTGGTCATAACAAAGGCTTTTCGTTAGCAACCACCGACCGAACAATCTACCTAAGTGCCGACTTCGCTAGCTGGAAGGATCAGAATGGATTAACGTTGCTTCCACCATCGGCATCCGACTTTGCCAACACGTTTCGCAATGATTTACGGGAGCTAACGAACAGTTCCTGGGAGCTTCGTACGGTCAAGCAATTTCCCAAACATGCGTCGGGAATATTTCTCGGGCGCACAGACCATCCCGACCGGTTTACCTACGAAAGTGGACGCCAGACCGAGGAGGGATATGAGCTAGAAATACAAGATGGCAGTGTATTTATTCGAGGCTCCGGGGCCCGAGGTATGTGGTGGGGAACGCGAACGCTCCTCCAGCAACTCGTTTTGACACGCTCATCCCTACAACCTGGTCGCGTGGAAGATGCCCCCGCCTATGCGACTCGTGGATTTTTGCTAGATGCTGGTCGCAAATGGTATTCACTCGAGTTTTTGAAAGATTTGTGCACCTACGCCTCGTTCTTCAAATTATCCGAGTTTCACTACCATGCGACCGACAACTATCCGCTGAGCCGCGGTCGAAACGTGACCTGGAACGAGGTCTACTCGCAGTTTTCCTTGCACCCCGAAAGTGAGGCCCTCCGCCCTCTTGTCCAGCGTGCCAATGAAACGCTATCCCGGGCTGAGTTTGATGATTTCCAGCATCACTGTGCTCAGCGAGGTGTTACAGTGATACCGGAGATCGAAAGCCCCGGGCACTGTCTCACAGTTACGAAATGGAGACCTGAGCTCGCGTTAGAGTCGAGGGACCTGCTCAATCTCTCGCATCCGGACACTGTTCCTTTGATGAAGTCCATCTGGACCGAATTCCTTCCTTGGTTCCACACAAAGGAGGTGCATATCGGTGCCGATGAGTACGACTCTGAATTTGCGGATGACTATGTCAGGTTCGTGAACGAGATGTCCCGCTTTGTACAAGCAATTTCTGGCAAAAGTGTTCGTATTTGGGGGACATATGAGCCATCAAACATTCCCATTGACAAGAATGTGACAATTCAACACTGGCAGTATGGACAATCAGATCCAGTTGACCTAGCCCAAAACGGCTACCAGATCATCAACTCCGAGGATTGGTGGGCGTATATGTCGCTGAAAAGCAACCATGTGCCTATCACCCCAGCCCCTTATCCTCAGTTTTTCAACAACGCCCGTGTTCTGAACTTCGCCGACCAGCACGGATGGCAGTGGACCCCCGGGCTCTTCAATCCGGTGAACAAAACTGAACAACCCGATACCGAAGCTGTACTAGGTGCTCTCTTGGCTGCCTGGAATGACAGTGGCCCGGATGCCACTACTCAGCTTGAGGCCTACTATGCCATTCGTGATGGCATCCCAGTCGTGGCTTCGCGAGTGTGGTGTGGTGCGCGTGGGCCTTCCTTGCATGAACCAACCTTGGCCAAATCCATCGCACAATTGTCCTCTCATGCTGTGGGGCAAAATCTCGACCGCCGCCTTCCGGGAGAAAGGCCCCACGGATCAGGAACTTTGCTTTCATGGACAAGGCCAACTACCAGCCAGGATAAGCATAACCTGGGCTATGGAAGTAAGGGCATGGATTATACCCTTCAACTAAACGTCACGGGTCCTTTTTCTTTGCAGTCCTCCGATGCGACACTTACGCTATCATCGGACGGTGAATTGGCTTTTGTTTCTGATGGATGGCCATACCCACTTCGCTCTGTTGCTGAGGCTGACGGTTTTGACGAAGACCAGCCTGGACGCATTTGGGTTAATAAGACCACGTCAACCCACGAGGTTGTCATAATCCCTCGCAAATCACAAGTCACTATCTCCACAAATGAGATATATGGAAGTCGTGTGTGGGTGGATGGTGCCTTTGTCGGCCGCTTTGAAGTCTTCATCTATGGCGGAAAGAATAAATGTTTCTCATGGAGTCAGATGGCTTTTGTGGCCCCCTTGGATGTTTTGGAAGGCCCGGGCTTGCAACACTTCGCTGTTTTTCAGGGTAGCAGGGAAGGTTGACATCGAATCTCGTCTGCCGCAGCCTGCATTGTTGGACTTACTTGAATCCTCTTCAATACACATTTTCTTCTACAATTCATCACAAGGGAGGCGCATATCAAGTTTGGATTGCTAGCTAACTAGTTATTTCTGTCCTCTCAATTATGTCATCGGGCCAATCTCAAGCGATCAAGTATTGAGCCTGCGAAAACCATAGCCACGTCTTATCATAGGCAAAAAGTCCCTTTCAAATCAGCTATCTTAAACATACCTTTCCTGGCCCACCGTTGTGGAATTCAGTAGCGAGATCTCACGCTCCCGTAGGAGACACCGTTGAATTGCAGGTCGAACAACAACGATGCGGAAGTTGGCGTTAGAACCAAATCATAGTCGATGTGGTAAAATTCTTCACCTTTGGAGTTCGTTTTCTTTGTAAAAAGCTCCCTCGGGATTCTGCTCAGATCTGCCTCCACCCCACACAGGTTCGCGACACCTGTTCAATTTAGTAAAAGGCCGCTTTCATATATTGCCAATATAGGGACACGGGACATACTGGAATCCATCGTTTCGGGGGCTGTGTTCGTCTGGCAAAACTGCAATGAGTCCTGAAATACCAAAGATTGCCCAAGGCCGACCACACGGTAGAAGCGCATTCTTATCGGCTCACTCTCAGCCACGGGTTTTCCCTCAAAGTCCCTCAAGTCAGCACTCAAAATCTCTTCAAAAATACCCAGTAGAAGTGGCAGGTTACTCACTTTGAGGATATACCATCTCATGCGCTTATGCACTTGCCATACTTCTTCATATGGACACCACATGAGATTCTCATCTGCGCGGTGTATTTCGGGGTTAAACTTGGTGTTCATTGAAATTCCATAGCTGCATCGGGCAATGCGGCTCTCTACTTGATTCCCTTCTTGACCACGGATGACCGCGCCCCTGAGCTGTCAGATACAAAACAAGCGTTATGAATGTTTCAGATACGTACCGAGCAACAGCAGACCACCTGTTTTTATATCAGTATCGGTTTGAATTGGCTTTTTGAAAGATTGAGAACTCACGCATTTGGGGGCTGCATGATTTGAATGCCGTTGAAAGCAGCCTGTAGACGCTTGAAGAGATACCCCGAGGCTCCAAGGCCCCCGACCAGAATAATAGCCTAATTGGAATTAATTGAGCTTCTTTTGATAGCGCTTTAGGGTCTCACCTTGGTCGAAAGACCTGCTGCCTTGACGCTCGTTCTTTGCTCGGCGACGAGATTCTCAATCTGCTTGATAATAGGATCGAAGATGCCTTTCACTTGATCTCTGTATCCGAATTAGTGTGGCCCACGAATGGGTTGATGAAGTAAATATATATATCCAATATACCTGTCTAGATATAAGTGCCCCTCACTGAGCTCGATATTTGAGATACCCGATACTCCAGGAACTGGGATCCAATATCCTACGTCACACATCTCATCGTCGTCGAGAGGACCTGTATACCCAGGCTTAATGTAGTCTTGCCAATACTTTCGTGCCGCCCTGACAGTAGACTGGGGGAGCGGTTTATGCAACTGCTTCTCGATGATGCTTTTGATAAGTGCGTCAAATCTCTCGTCTAACATCACTGAGCCACAAACAGCACCTAGAATTTGTTAGATATAACCAAGAGTGTACGTTTCCCATAAATACCAGTTCCCTTTGTGGCTTCCTCGAATGTCAACGGGTCGCTTTGTTTGACGCGATAGGTGATTATGTCCTAAGATGAGTGTCACTAAAATTTATCAAACCAGTTCCATACGAGAAAGACTCACGACCGTTCCACCCCCAGCATCACAGACAATCAAGCAGTCATCTTCCTAGAATCTTATCAGATTATTAAACTCCAATTCATAATGATGAGATCCATACTGCGATTGTATTCGGTTGAATTGTCCGAATTGCACAGACTGCAGCCGCCTCCGGTTCAGACAAGAGTCTCAAATTCGCAGCAGATATGCCAGCCTGGTGAGCTGCCTGCATAGTAAGATCTTTAGCTTTATCAGACCAAACAGCGGGGACAGTAAGGATGTATTCCAAGTCCATAGTTTGCAGCGCAGTACCAAAGCGACGCGTCAAGACATCATGAGCGTGGCCGACTAATTTTCCCAGGTAGTCACCAGCAACCTCCGTTGGTGTTTTTTTCATGAGAGTCAGCAGCAGGTGCGTAGCGGAATTTCTGACTTTCATCCAGCAAGAGCTTGACTCCTTGGATGAGTCGCTGCTCCTTGCCCGGATGAATTGACCGGTTAGTCTGATAACCCCATTGCATTCGGCTGTCGTCGTAGGAACACAACGTTGGGACTTTCTGGCTTGTGACTAATAAACAGTCAGTTTCATGAACTTCTCTTTTGTCCTGTAGACTCACTATTGCCACCACCTGGCCATGTCTGAATGAGCTCAATATCATCAGGGCAGTCTTCCAATGCCCAGGCAACGCTATAAAAATGATGTCAGCGCTTCATTAATTACTACCAGAACAGAAAGTTTACTGACCCGCTGAATGTTGTTCCGAAGTCAACACCCACTATGAGTTTTGGTCGCTCCTCTGCGATCGCCATGTTGAATTTGTACGTCTTGTCTTTCTTATCAAGTTTCGGAAAATAGAGTACGAGAAGGAATTTTTTTTAACAGACAAGGTGATGTTTCTTCAATCGAAAATTAGATTTCGCAACTTTGAGATCATTGACTCCTACGCTTAGCCGTAAAGAGCGTCGGCGTGAGGCATATGTCTACAACATCGGCTAATTGTGGTGTCATCGATTTGGATAATGTGTCATGAATAAAATTGAAACTATTCCATTCATGGTTTCATACTTCCCATCACTTGACTATCGGTATGAAATGTGGCCCCCTTTCGACGAACCCGAGCCTGAGCAGGCGAACAGGCGTACTCAAACGTCCCCAGATTTATCCTCCAAATGGGGACAGGTTGCTATTGGTTCGTTTTCCCCTTCACAACTTAAATGGTATCTACTAAATGTATTAGCTTACCTAGATAATAAGTCCATGCGTGATGAGGTTGAACGGCTCCAACAGGTTTGTGGTCAAGGCCCCCTCTACCTTATTTTTATCTAACGAACAAAACAGCGAATCAAAATCGCAGAAAAGAAAGCAGAGAAGTTTGAACGAGATCGGCTGCTTGCAGAGGAGCAGGCTCGTCAACGAGGCGAGCTGCTCGACAATGCCATCCGGGACTCAAATGTAGCCAGAAAGGAGAACCGAATCCTCATGACCAATATAGCAAGCCTACAAGCTGGGACTGAGACTTTCTCTGACGAAGAAGTCAAACAAGAGATGTGTCTACTCTATCACGATCTTGCACACTGGAGGTTTACCCATTTTGCGGCAAAGCCAGCACAACAAGGGAACGATCCCACGCCAAGATCAGATAGTCTTGACATCTCGACATTGGATATTATTCAGTCGGAAATTGCCGGGCTGATTTACCGGTTCTTTTGGAACCAATTTATGGTTGGAGCTGAGCAAAGTTGGAGTAATTATCTCCGCAAGGTCGATTCCGAAATAAATAAACAATGTGAGCCCCGGAGGATCACTACTGTCGCCGCTTCCTAACAACAACAGTTTCTAGCCACATTTCCCGGCATTGGCGATGTGCGATGAGCTCTGCAATCCTATCATTGGAAACCTCTAGTTTACAAGAACAGTGTAATTGGATCATCGAGAAGGCAGAGGCTTGCTTCGGTCGCTACGCCGTCACCGACAGACTAAAGCGAATGCAACAGCTACAAGGCATAATCGCGCGCTGCATCAAGTTCAAACATAAATTAGATTGCCAGGAAGACAAATACGTTTTCTGGGGTAGTTACCAATACGGATTGCGGTTCCGGGGTAAGAAGATGCGAACCCTCACAGAGGAGGATACCTCGGATGGATTCGTTCAGGCCAGCCTTTGGCCTGGATTATATAAAATCGTTGAAAAAGGCGAATGGTCGACAATTGCAAAGGAGATTGTGAAAAAGATTCCACCAGTGACCCCTTCAGTTGAAATGGTCGATGACATGGAATCCTATGAAGGCAACCCAGACTTGATTGAGATTTAGAATGATCTTGGCTTATGCGGGGAATTATATATTACGACCATTGCTTCCAATTTGAATATCTAGCTATAGAAACTCCGTTGCTTGTCCGATGCAAAAACATGCATATATCCGTACTAGTTACTAAATAGTTACTAGACCCCTTCAGCAAAACCGTCATTTCCGGATTCTGTGTCAACCTTCATGGAATCCATCAACCCACAGACCTCGAAGATCGTTCGTGGTCCTAATCCTTCGGGTACACCGACCACTCCGTCTGCCTTAAGGCGCTCCAAAGTGGCCTTGATTCCCATGTAAGCTGGGGTGATCGTGGCGAATGAAAAGATCATAATTCTGAAGCCCATTTCCTCAGCCTCCTTTGTGGTAATGAGAGGACTAGCTCCATTCTCCACCATGTTGAGAAGAAGAGGCCAAGGTGCCAGATCCTGAACTGCTTGCCGGGCTTGCTCTTTTGAAGTAAAACCCTCAAGTAGTCCGACATCCGCTCCAATATCCCTGGCAGCCTTCAGTCGACGAATGCACTCATCGTAGCCATGTTGTTGGAGTGCGTCGGTTCGTGCAATCAGAACAATATCCGAGTGCAAACGATCCTTGGTCAGCTTGGCTGCACGAATTCGCATTATGTATTCATCCAGGCTAACGACTTTTTTGCCATTGAGATGACCGCAACGTTTGTTTTGGATCTGATCTTCGATGTGGAAGCCAGCCACGCCTGCCTGGATGTATTGCTGCACAGATTTTGACACCATCAAAGGACCTGGAAGAAAGTTAGAATGCTTTTCAACTAAATGATAAAGGTCTAGTGTTTCTGAGTCACTAACCTCCATAGCCAGTATCCATGTCTGCAATCAATGGAGGTCCAAATGGATCCAAGTTTGCAATCATTTCAGCGTTGGTCTTCATGTCGTGGAGCTGAGCCAGGCCGAGATCAGCCATGCCCAGGCGCGATGCAGTAGTTCCAGCACCAGTCTATGTAATTTGGTCAGCATACATCATACAGGGATGTAGTGTTACACATCAGAGTTCTTACCATGTACAGTCCCTTGAAGCCGACCTGCATAGCAATGCGAGCCGAGAGGCCATCATACACACCAGGACACACGATGAGGTCTTTGGTGTCTTTCAGCATGCGGCGCAACTTGGAAGCTGCGGGAATCACATAGAGAGAGACAGTAGGCTCCTGTCGGGTCCCATTGACCTCGTAGTATCCATCCTTCTCGACGGTGATTGTGATAGTCATGTTTGAACTTTGGCAAATGAGATGTGTTTTTGTCTGGACCGTTGGATTCTTGTACTACAGTCGAAGGACAACGCTGCTCTTTATATTTTCGAGTTCTATACCCTGCAAGAAATTTCGCTACATGCAGACACCAATCCCAGAAGAGAAGCGTCTGCCTGCTCGTAGAGGACAAAAACATCTCACCAAAGGCAAAAGTCTTGGTTCCTTGGGGATGTAACATTCCACCATCTGCCAAGACGTCCTGATGGCTTATCTTCCTTCGCGTCGTACTGATCCTGGATGACCTCAGCTGAGTGAGTCCACGAAGAAGACATATTGCGCAAGATTAAGAGCACTAGTCGCGGAGCAGGTGTTCAGATTTCCCATCAATCAAAGAGCCACAATAGCGTTGCATACATATATCTCCGTATAGAGAGCCGAGATCTAGATAATGCATGTCTACTTCGGGCTTTTGAGGTTGACTGGGATAGGCTGGCGACGGGAAATTCGACCCACAATCTTGACTCAGATGGCTTGCTTCTCACAGCAATTTAATCAATCCGAGTACCTTGGCAAGGTGACTGCATATTGCAAAGTGATGCAGTGCATTTTGCATCCTTCTCACAGGAGAGATCTGCGCCGCGATATCGGGTCTCCGTCTCTTGGCCAAATGATTTCTTGGCCAAATGCACCGTTCCACAAAGACCGTCGTTCGCCAAGCTCTTCAGACTAGGAGATCATCACCCAAAAACATGCCAAAAGGTGCTATTGTAGTGCTGTGTAGCGAATCCACGCGTACTGTTGTGCAGTGTGTACACCAAATGCCAAGGTAGGTAAGTTAAGACTTCTCCTTTCGGCTTTCGGCGTGGCTGAGTCAGCCATGTAAATTTCCACCCCCCTCCTCTAGGACTCCGAGTGCATCGCCAATTTCCACCCTATCATCCTCACCAATCCAATAACTGATCCATCCCTGCTGCTTGGAAGACGCAATTTGGAATTCAGAAGGACTATCCTCTTTCGCTTTTACCAACTGAATTACGCCTATCATGGCTCTCATACAACCCACCAATCCCGACTTCCCTTACTCACTGTAAGCCCCCCCCCCGCCACCCCGAAATAGCTTCCAAAAACAAGACCAAGCAATACTCACCTCTTGACTCAGCACAATATCCCTTCCCCTTCCAAGCAATCGTCTCGCATCATGCGCTCTGCGCGCTTTGGAAGTTGACGCCGAACTATCCCCTTTTGTGCGACGGACTTTCACCGTCGGAGCTCCGGTGGTCGAAGCACCATCCGAGCCGCAAGAGAAGAAGCAAAAACAGGACCCTGACGAGTGTAAAACCGTGTTGAAAATAACATACATCGCGACGACCAACCGGATGCTGCGCGTTTCTGTCAATGGATTTATGGAGAGTCTGGGTGTCGTACTTGGGGTTATGGCAGAATTGGATATCGATGTTCTCAAGGCTGAGCTGGAGGGTTGATTGATGGGCTTGCCCTGCAGCAATATGCACCATTGATCCGTCCGTCTTGGCCTCAATATTTCTGGTATGGTCCTATCGGAAAGCTGTGTCTGAAAACCCTGAGACGCTTGGCTGCCACAAGAATTGGGGATAATGGATAGCGGGTCGTACATCAACCCCTCCATGAGAACTCATGTTACACAAGTCCTGCCCGCGGATGGAGTTTCGGAGAAGAACGTTGCCGCCAAGCAACTAACGCTCATCACACCGGGTCCTCCTTGGCATCCTAGGCATGCATCGGAGACTAAATTAGTATGAAGTCGGCTTGGTTTGCGGGTCGTCTAACAGGAATTTCAGGCCGTCATGCACGACATGTGATTGTGGCTGTCCTTATCTCGCTTGGAGTCCTGCAGATTCCTCAGATTTCAACGGAACTTCGGGGTTTTTCACTGCCCCTTGGCTCCGTCTTAGGGTGCATCAATTAAGTGAGATGATGATGCGATTGACCAGGGGAGAGGAGGGGAAGGAAATGTTGGTAGATCTCATAATTTATTCACCCGTCCTTCAATCCCCGCGGAAAAGAGAAAGTTTTTATGTCAATTATATTTTATTCCGATGGTTTCCTGTATCTCCTTGTCTTTCATCCTTCCCTCCATTTCTCTCTCATTATAGTCAATAACATCCAAGATGAACCATGACAAAGGTGCATTCGGTGGACTTTCAACATCTCTGAAGGCTGAGCTCGAGCCACAGCATGCTGACCTCTTACTTTTCGCTTGTTGTTTGACTTCGGGACTTGTGGATAGCACGATATATAG